TATAGAAACTAGTTTCACAACTCTTTTTTGAAAATTAGATCCATCCCAGATATTTATGCTTTAATTTCGTAAACAGACTAAAACACTAGCCAGTGCTAAAATGTATTTACATTGCAATAATAAGTGAAAATACAGAAATCCTCATTTCAGCTATTTACGTTCAAAGCCTAATGAAGCGAAGTAAATATTTGAGAAATATCAAATTTCTTATTTAGAAAATATTTTTGACATTCATGTTTTAGCGATGAAAATATTGAGCACATGTGCGTTTATCACTGGATATGCCCAGATTGTTCAACTGGATTTCGTGTACCCCCATTTTGAAAAACGTGATAAACGTAATTAGAACGCCATGTGATAAAGAGAAGTATGATAGGTAATTTAAAACTATGTGGCTTGGTACTTAATTTTCTGATGAACATATAAAAGCCAACAAACGAACCAACAGTGTCAAGGACTTAAACATTCGGATACACGATACTCATAAATGTTACATGGCCGCGATAACGTTTTCTCTGAAAAGTGTATCTGTCGCTTTTGCTTATAAAATTGTATGTTATAACCAACATGATGTTTTATCACCAAAGAATGGTTTTGTTAAAACAGTATTGTGCTTTAGAGCATCATTCCTTGAAACAAGATTTACTCCAATATATATTTGTAAAACAGTTTCTTCAAGATATTCAGTAACTAAAAATTCTACCGGTTGTTGTGTTGTGTACTCTAAACTATGAAGAAACTTGATTGAAAGATATGTCCGTTTTCAGCTTTAATCCAAATGACTGACAAAGCATTTTGGGGATATGGATTGTAATTCATAACAGTTAATCTTTTATACGCAAACATAAAAACATTAATTAAATTCGTTGATTTTAACAAATGACAGACGATACCATAAAATAAGCTTTGGCTAGTGACCCATGGAATACTATATTATAATACTCCGCTATGGCGATGATCTAAATAATATCTGATCTGACTAACTAATCTGGCAACATTTTACTCTTTTAAGAACAGATAACGAGCCAAACATAGTAACAGTTTTCGCTGGTCTGCTTATTTTCACTTAAAGCAAATAAAGTTAACTCTGCCTTATAGATGCACCATCACGAAACTGACAGAATGGAGTTTTGCCCGCAACAACACAGGCCGCTGAGACTTCCTTCCAATCCTGGGAGTCAACAGTGTTCTTTTAGGGTATGTGACAACTGTTGCGGTGTGTGTTAACGAAATATGTGTCTATATCTATGGGGAAAAGTTTCGATTTTTCTAAAACGTTATTCGAAAGCTCACTCTTTGAGAATTGTTTGATAGAGGAACATAGGAGAAACAAATATACAAAGTTTAGTACGGGTTACAATATTTGCAGGTGTGTGATGGGTTGAATTTACCTAAGGTTATAACTTGAGCGTTATTTCACTTTTTGTATTCCTTTAGAGTAGGTCGATGTTTATGTGTTTTTTTATAAAGACATTGAACATTGCATGTTAAGCTGTCGCATACGAATGGAGAATAAAATTGGATAAACCGGTTAAAATGTCAGTTTAATATTATTCTAATAACAGTCTGAGATATCAAAACCAAAGACAAATATTTCTAGCAAATCACTAATAACATATTTTGACTTGTCTGCAATATAGTCGCTTAGAGAGAAACCTACAACAATGTCACCATTATTATCCTTTCCCGTGATGTTTCGCACGTTCCCTAGATGTTCTTCCTCCATCAGGTCTTGTGGATGTGGTGGATTCTGACAACTATCTATTGTATTGTATTGTATTGTATTTAGTGATTTGTCTACAACCCAAACCGATTCCGAAAATATACAACAAATGTAAAAGAGATCTACCTTAAACATAAAATAGACTCTCAAAAATCAACAGGAGTATACATAAAAATAAAGCTAACAGCATCATAGGTTCATAAGGCGATCATTTGAATATCTGGACGAAAAGAATGTTCACAAATCTGTTTAAATCGCTGGTTCGATCTTATTTATAGTATATTGTAATTGTTTGGAGTCCACACAATATTAACGACATCGAAAGGACAGGAAACATCCAACGAAGATCTACACAGCTGCTCCCTGGATTTAAAGATATTGGCTGCTTCCAACTCTAGTTTACAGACGCTTGCGCAGAGAAGTTCAAGTTTATTGGAGGGTCTATTTGATATTGCTGCACGCAAAAATCTCTTGGACACAGTCAAATATTGCTCAAACATCATTGCAATTTAAATCTTAGAAAACTTAACTTCAATACAAGAAAAGCGTTCATCAAGATTTTATTTCATTTGGTACTTAATTGGACGAATTATGGAAAGATCTTGAGTTACAATACGATCATACAGCTTCTTATACATAGACTAAAAATATATTTTACCACAATGTTTTTCACATTGATATGATGCGGATATAGAGGCAGCAATGCCTGCGTCCATGAGTATCCTATATAATCATTTTAAATTAACAAAAGTGATAATAAATTTAACAGTATCAATCCACAAGAATCACTTATGTATCAAACTATTAAAGTATTCCTAGCATAGGCATGTGTTATGTTCAAGAGTTAGTGAGAAAAAACGGTCAGGTTTAATTAAAGGTACTTGAATGGCAGCCTATTTGGTATTGTTTCGAGTTTGGTCATATCAATTTCTTTTGGCAAAATTATTAGAATTTGAAAAAACAGAAGGAGCGTTTGTGTCAGGTAAGAGTGTTAAGGATCTGCATTGGTAACAAGAGTATAAAACAAAACAAAAATTTGTTAAAGGGATTGTTCGGCAGGGGGCTCCCATTGACCTTGTTCTATTTATAGTTCCTTATGTTACCTACTAATGTTGATGAACAATTCTCTGCCATTATCCAGTGAAATGTCAAAAATATCTATACTGATATCGGAAGGCAAAGCTTAACAATAATTTGAAAAAACGAAATTTGCTAGTACCCAAATTGTTTTTTGTTTATCCAGTCAGTTACGAAATATTGTGATATTCGACATAATAAATACATATTAAATTTGGTGTAAAAATATTTTTTTGAGAAAATTCAACAACTGATGGTCAAATGTTAGATACTGCAGGATAGGTCAGTGAGTGTAATCTCGAATAGTAAAAAGACAATTCCATTTTGGTTAGTTTTACTTAAAATATATTGTTTAAAAAAAACCATGGGGTTCCTAAATTATATCGAAACAGTGTAGGGGGCGCTGCAAAAACATTTGTTATATACTCAAGAACTTTATGTTATTTTAGCAGGTATTTCATCCCAATTAATTGAATCACGCCAAACGTTTCGAAACAGTTCGTGGGCCACCGAACACCAAATCCTTTCATGTTAAGTTATATTCAAATCTTAGGGACAAGAAATCCACCAAAAGAGTCTTCCATTTGTATCTTTAAAACTGAAAGTCAAATGTCGCTCCATCTTAAAATTTTGGAAATTGATACACTTTATTACATTATGCAAAGATAAAAAAAGACTTGATTTATTTTACAACAATTAAGAAACAACAAAATTCAACTTATATCAGTCACTCTTGTTGGCCCGGATGTAAACGCGCATTGTGTCTAAATGTGGGAGGAAACTGGAAAACCCGAAGAAAACCCTCGTGGACGGGCACGGGGACCCTTTACCTGTTCACGTCCGATCAGGGAATCGAACCCCGGTCGCCTTGGTGCACCACCAAGCCCGAAATATTCTGACGTTTTATCGACTTTTTTATATCGGTCTGTCGTCGATTAACGTCAGAACTCCGACCCTCTATATGCGGGAAATAAGCGACCCGCGCCCGGGTCGCACTTCAAACTGATATTTTAGAAACAAATCGTCACTTTCACACATATGTCGCACATGGATCGAAAGATCTATTCTTTATGTACTAGGTGGTATCAATAACATGTTTCAAAGATCATTACGAACAGTGTTTTCCAACGTTTTCTATACCAACCCATGTTTTAAATGGAAATTAGGGCATGAGCAATGTCATATGACTTGACGAGATCTCGCGTTACGGAAGGTATTTCCCAACGTTATGACGTAGGCCGGCAAGATTTTAGTCACGTGGCATAAGAAGGCGGGCTATCAAAAAACTAGAGTAAAACAGAGTAAGTTTTAAACAATATGATTTTAGTGATTGTATTGGTTGTTTGAGGCATGTAATTTATATTCATCTTATGCATAAAGAACTGATCTTTCGCGGGTCGCTTATTTCCCGCATATTATAGAGGACCGCAGTTCTGACGTTAATCAATAACAGACCGATATAAAAAAAAAAGTCGATAAAGCGTAAGAATAATTCGGACTATGCACCACCCGACCACCCATAAACTACTGCTAAAAAAGAAGAAAAGGAGGTATGTGTAAAACCTCTTAATTATATAAATACTGATAAAAGGACTCTGGTTAATTTCAAAGTATTAATGAATAAAGTGTGTGTTTCAAAAGAGATAGTTGAACGGAGCGGTAAATGGACATGGCGGACAGTGAGTTAGTTAGTTAGAGCCTGCCTGTGATAACGTACTGACCTGCGGTATGGTCGAAGATAAAATTCATAATGCTTCCTAAAATGTAATACAGTATGACATGTTTCATGTTAAAAATAAATACCATGGAATCCTGTTCAAATAAGTTAAAAAAAACAAAAAAAAAACAAACGTTCTCGTTCAAAGCTCAACANAAAAAAAAAAAAAAAAAAAAAAAAAAAAAAAAAAAAAAAACATTCTCGTTCAAAGCTCAAAAAAGAGAGTCAAATGTTTCCTCCGCATTGTTTGTTTACTTTCTGGTCTCGTTCCTATTTCTTGTCACTTAAGCTTCATAGTTTTTATGACCCGTTTTGTTATTCCCTTGGTTTGTATAGTGACAAATGCAAGTGTATGTCAATAACTCGTCAGTATCACTGCCTTACTATTAAATATCTGTCATTATAGAGATATTAGCTATTATAATGCAAACTCGTAGCAGGCATCTTCCACAAACGATTCAAATGAGAACAAAACCATGCACAAAGTTTAACTACAAATATTTATTTGTCAAAGTGTATCTTATAAGAAGAATGCCCTCCACATTTTAAAACGATATGTTGTGTTAAGAACTAATAATTATTCCCAGACCTTGTACAGACAATCATTCTAGATAAAACACGACGTTTAACATAACACCCTGGTCAATGAGACTATAATATCATTACGAAAATGGTTAAATGAATGACCGTCTTAAGGTACTGGCAACAAAAGCAATATTTTCTTAGTTTATTGGTTGTGGCATTCTGTTGCAATCGACCAACTGAATATATCATGATTAGTTCTATTTCAGTATACGTTTTAAGTAACGGTTTCATCTGTTAGCGAACCAAAACACGTTTAATTATCGTTGTCACCTGCGTCACCAGTCAAATACTGGTTAAGGTCGTCAAACCAGTCTTGCAGTAGCTGAGCTTTGGTATTTTTGCCATGGTTGCTTTGTTTAGCATGACGACTGTTCCCGTTATGGTCTTCTTCCTCCTCACCGGAAGAACCGCTGCTACTGCTACTGGAACCTCCACCACTTTTTCCTTTACCATTTTTAGAATTCCCGTTACCTTCCTCAGAAGAATCGCTGTCACTACTACTGGAACCGCTACTGCTTCCATAACCTCCGCCATTGTTTCCTTTGCCATTTTTAGAACCTCCATTTCCTTCCTCAGAAGAATCGCTGTCACTACTATCGGAGCTACTGCTTCCAGAACCTCCACCATTATTCCTTTTGTTTTTCTTAGAACCTCCATTTCTTTCCTTAGAAGAATCGCTGTCTCTACTATCGGAACCGCTACTGCTTCCAGAACCTCCACCATTGTTTCTATTGTTTTTCTTAGAACTTCCATTACCTTCCTTTCCAGAACCTCCGCCTTTGTTTCCTTTGCCATTTTTAGAACCTCCATTTCCTTCTTCAGAAGAATCTCTGTCACTACTATCGGAACCGCTACTGCTCCCAGAACCTCCACCATTGTTCAATTTGCCATTTTTAGAACCTCCATTTCCTTCCTTAGAAGAATCGCTGTCTCTACTATCGGAACCGCTACTGCTTCCATAACCTCCGCCATTGTTTCCTTTGCCATTTTAGAACCTCCATTTCCTTCTTCAGAAGAATCGCTGTCGCTACTATCGGAGCTACTGCTCCCAGAACCTCCACCATTGTTCAATTTGCCATTTTTAGAACCTCCATTGCCTTCTTCAGAAGAATCTCTGTCACTACTATCGGAACCGCTACTTCTTCCAGAACCTCCACCTTTGTTTCCTTTGCCATTTTAGAACCTCCATTTCCTTCCTTAGAAGAATCGCTGTCTCTACTATCGGAACCGCTACTTCTTCCAGAACCTCCACCTTTGTTTCCTTTGCCATTTTAGAACCTCCATTTCCTTCCTCAGAAGAGTCGCTGTCACTACTATCTGAACCGCTACTGCGTCCAGAACCTCCACCATTGTTGCTTTTGTTTTTCTTAGAACCTCCATTTCTTTCCTTAGAAGAATCGCTGTCTCTACTATCGGAACCGCTACTGCTTCCAGAACATCCACCATTGTTTCTATTGTTTTTCTTAGAAATTCCATTTCTTTCCTCAGAAGAATCGCTGCCACTACTATCGGAACCGCTACTGCTTCCAGAACCTTCGCCTTTGTTCCATTTGCCATTTTTAGAACCTCCATTTCCTTCCTTAGAAGAATCGCTGTCTCTACTATCGGAACCGCTACTGCTCCCAGAACCTCCACCATTATTCCTTTTGTTTTTCTTAGAACCTGCATTTCTTTCCTCAGAAGAATCGCCGTCACTACTATCGTAGCTACTGCTTCCAGAACTTCCCCCTTTGTTTCCTTTGCCATTTTTAGAACCTCCATTTTCTTCCTCAGAAGAATCGCTGTCGCTACTATCGGAGCTACTGCTCCCAGAACCTCCACCATTGTTCAATTTGCCATTTTTAGAACCCCCATATCCTTCCTCAGAAGAGTCGCTGTCACTACTATCGGAACCGCTACTTCTTCCAGAACCTCCACCATTATTTCTTTTGTTTTTCCTAGAACTTCCATTTCCTTCCTCAGAAGAGTCGCTGTCACTACTATCGGAACCGCTACTGCTCCCAGAACCTCCACCATTGTTGCTTTTGTTTTTCTTAGAACCTGCATTTCTTTCCTCAGAAGAATCGCTGTCACTGCTTCCTGATCCGCTGCTGCTTCCAGAATCGTTGCCACTTTTACCTTTCTTAGAACTTTTTTTGACAGTGGAGCTTTTACGACTTTTAGAACTTCTGCTTATTCCTTTCTTAGAACCTTTTCTGCCCTTTGAGCTTTTACGGCTTCGAGAAACCTTTATCTTAAAACTTGTTTTCCTCTTGGATCTTTTACGAGAAACCTTACTTTTCTTAGAGCCTTTTTTGCCCTTGGTGCTTTTGCGAGATTTAGCAAGCTTACTTTTCTTAGAGCCTTTTTTGCCCCTGGGGCTTTTGCGAGATTTAGAAACCTTACTTTTCTTAGAGCCTTTTTGGCTCTTCAAACTTTTACGAGATTTAGAAACCTTACTTTTCTTAGAGCCTTTTTTGCTCTTCAAACTTTTACGAGATTTAGAAACCTTACTTTTCTTAGAGCCTTTTTTGCCCTTGGTGCTTTTGCGAGATTTAGAAACTGTCCTTTTCTTAGAGCCGTTTTTGCTCTTGGAGCTTTTGCGAGATTTAGCAACCTTACTTTTCTTAGAGCTTTTTTTGCCATTAGAGCCTTTACGACTCTTAGAAACTGTACCTTTCTTACAACCTTTCTTCCCTTTACAACTTTTGCGAAATTCAGAAACTTTACCTTTCTTAGAGCCTTTTTTGCCCCTGGGGCTTTTGCGAGATTTAGAAACCTTACTTTTCTTAGAGCCTTTTTTGTCCTTGGTGCTTTTGCGAGATTTAGAAACTGTCCTTTTCTTAGAGCCTTTTTTGCTCTTGGAGCTTTTGCGAGATTTAGCAACCTTACTTTTCTTAGAGCTTTTTTGCCATTGGAGCCTTTACGACTCTTAGAAACTGTACCTTTCTTACAACCTTTCTTCCCTTTACAACTTTTGCGAGATTCAGAAACTTTACCTTTCTTAGAGCCTTTTTTACCCTTGGAGCTTTTGCGAGATTTAGAAACCTTACTTGTTTTGGAGTCTTTTTTGCTCTTGGAGCTTTTACGAGATTTAGAAACCTTTCCTTTCTTAGAGCTATTTTTGCCATTAGAGCCTTTACGACTCTTAGAAACTGTTCCTTTCTTACAACCTTTCTTGCCCTTACAACTTTTACGAGATTTAGAAACTTTACCGTTCTTAGAGCCTTTTTTACCCTTGGAGCTTTTACGAGATTTAGAAACTTTACTTTTCTTAGAGCTTTTCTTGCCCTTAGAGCCTTTACTGCTCTTAGAAACCTTACTTTTTTTAGAACCTATCTTGCCTTTAGAGCTTTTACCAGATTTAGAAATCTTTAAAGGTTTCGAACTGCCGTGATCTGCCTTTGAAAATCGGATACTTTTAGTGACCTTTAAAAGTTGATGCGATGCCTTGCTGTCTTTAAGGTTTTTTTGTGACGTAGTTTTAAGAAGGTGGCTTTTCCCCTTCGATGTTGATTTGCCTACATGTCCCTTACTGCTAGATTTCCCCGCAACCTTGAGTGGACCTTTTCCTCCAGCAGATGCGACATGTGTACCCTTTCCATTTTTGCTTGGTCCTTTACCTGCTCCGGATGGACCAGATTTTCCTGTACCACTTTTCCCCTTCGATGTTGATTTGCCTACATGTCCCTTACTGCCAGTTTTCCCCGAAGCCTTGTTTGGTCCTTTTCCTCCTACAGATGCGACATTTGTGCCCTTTCCAACTTTCTTACTGGCAGTTTTGTTGTTTCCATTTTTTCCCTGCTTTTTGCTTGGAGGTTTCTTCCCCGTTGATACTGTACTTGGTGCGGCTACGTGTTTGTTTCCGGATAACGTGTTTACAGCAGCGTCATTAGGACCCTCCCACCAGTCTGCGCCAGAGACCACCGAACCCTTCGAAAAAGCAACAACGTCTCCCGATTTGAAAGACTTTCTCTTGCTTGACGTATGTTTGTCAAGTTCCGTCATTAGCTGTTTCCATTGAAGATCATCCAGTGTTCGTCGTTTGGCACAATCTTCCACATCACAGTCACGGCACCGCTTGCCTTTATGCCTACTGTACTTTTCCCAAGCGCATTCCCGTTTGATGCGACGACAACCCTTTTTGCGGCGTGGACAGTCAGGATTCTTCCCTGTTAAGACAGACGTGGTACAATGCGTTATTCATAACATCAAATTTACGTTAAGCCAGAAAAGTATTTAAAACTTCAATTAATTAAATAATAACGTGTATCTGTTGGTTAGACGTTGTTTTAAGTGATGATGATGATGATGATGATGATGATGATGATGATGATGATGATGATGATGATGATGTGAGGATGATGCAGAACGGTTTATAGCAGAATATTAAGGCATTTTATATACAGATGTCGGCAACAGACAAATGTCACAGCAAAAATCACTGTTTAACTCCCTTTTTTAAGTATTAGGTGGGACAACTTCATCGATATTAATGCATTAGAGTTAACCACTGGTTGTAATTTTCAGTGTTTTACTATTTTTAACTTCTTAATTAACCAGCACTTTTAGAGACGTTCATTTGAAAACCAAATATAATTTTAATCTATTTTTCACTCACCAATTTTCTTCGACTTCTTTTTGGGTTTGTCATGGAATCCTACAGAGAAAAACAAAAATACAAAATATATCATGGTTTTGATTGTATAATTTTTGAGAAGCTGTGAAGTCTAGAATGAATTTTAAAACTGCTGAATATATTTGACTGATGTTTATTATTGACGTTTAAAGTCCACATTCAAAGATAGCATCACTAGCATGCATAACAAACACGTATGCATTCAGCTCTTACTTGGGTAAGTGTAATTTCATTTAGCCAATAACCGACATTATTATCATGTTTAAAAGATGTATTATCATTTATTCCAAAAATTAGGTAATGATTATTAAATTTATCTTATAACTTATGTGATTATCAGTAGTTATAATTTTTCATCATTTATTATCAAACTTTAGATTTTTATCATCTATCCTACAGCTTATGCTATTTATATATTATCATATAATGTTTTCAGCATTTGTCGTTCGAACAATTTTCTCATCGCGAGCCTCGAACAAAATCGATGGGCCCCTCAGATGGTCTTGAGATTTTATCGATATGCGAGCGATGAGAGCCTCTCGATTTTTTCCTCGTGCTAGGGATGAGAAAATTATTTCGAACGACAATATCTGAAATCATTGTGTGATTAATTGTTTATCATTGTTAACACATTACATCTCCAGCACACACGCAGGCATACACAAATAGGGAGATATTAGTCAGGTGGCATAGGACGAGTAGTAAGCACCTGATATGGCACCACCTGCGAATTCCTCAAAATTGTGTTGATTAATGTATATGCTAATTGTATATCTATGTATTGTAAAGCGCTTTAAAGTGACTTATTGTAGCTAGATAGGGCACTATATCAAATGTTGTATACTAATATTATTATTATTATTACTAGCATCGTCATCTATATACGCCTACCTGATATATATTTCTCCATTCATTTATAAGTCAACTTATATAATATATCCCCAATGACTTGAAGACTTATGTTCAGTGAGATCCGTGGTATGTAACAAACGTCAATAAATAGAATATTTATGCTGAGGAATACCATGAACTTTAAAACTATATAGAAAGCTATTTTGAAAACAAAATTATTGTCATTTGTTTCTCAATTACGCTTAAACTGATGTAGCTATCCACAATAGTTTTTCGTAACATTGCAATATATAATAATATGACTGACTATTTTGATCATCTTCTTGTGGATACTATTCCGTCTTTGCGTATTGCAGAGTTATCTTCTCTTGGGAGCGGGTATTGATTGTTACGTCATTGGTTTGTGTGAGAAAATTACGTCGTTTTCTCAAAAATTGATGACGTTACTCTCACAAACAAGTGACCTAACAATCAATACCTGCTCCCAAGAGAAGATAACTCTGCAATACGCAAAGACGGAATTCCCAGTTCAGGACGTCACCAGGCGCAAAAGGCGGTCATTTATGAGAAAGTACGTTCCAAAAACACATATATATATAAATGATTCACACGGATGAATACAAATGCTTACCTATATAGCGTCCATGCATGAGTGACTATAAACACATGTATATAACTGATGTACACGGGTGAATACAAATACTTACCTATATAGCGTCCATGCGTGATTGATAACAAACACATATTTGTAACTGCATGACGTGCATCGGTGAATACAGTTACTTATCTATAGCGTCTATGCATGAGTGACTATAAACACATATTCATAACTGATGTGCACGGGTACCATTGGTACATATACGTGTAACGAGTTATGCTTACCAACGGCCTTCACACAGGTTTTACCACAGGAAGTTTTACAGCACTTTTCTCCAAGAGGACAGTTTCCATCCGTTTCACATTTCGGTCCACAGACTCCAGACTTAGCTACTGGGCAGTGGCCGTTATGCTCTTTAGAATGGATCTCTAAAAAAAATAACAGAAATTAAAAACATATATATATTTAAACAGATACATTTTATTTGAAGTTGCGGGGTGTAAATACAGAGTATATATAATGTGTTGAGGTGTATATACACAGTTATAATGTCGTGAGATTTATATACACAGTATATTATGTTGTGAGGTGTATACACAATATATAACCATGTGATGTGTATATTCACAGTATTCAGTGTTGTATGATATATATACATTGTGTATAATGGTGTGAGGTATGTATTTACAGTAAACAGTGTTGTAGGATGTGTATACACTGTATATAATGTTGTGAGGTGTATATACACAGTATATACTGTTGTGGGGTGTATATACACAGTATATAATGTTGTGAGGTGTATATACACAGTATATAATGTTGTAAGGTGTATATACACAGTATATAATGTTGTGAGGTGTATATACACAGTATATAATGTTGTGAGGTGTATATACACAGTATATAATGCTATGAAGTGTATATACACAGTATATAATGTTGTGAGTTGTACATACACAGTATAAAATGTTGTGAAGTGTATATACACAGTATATAATATTGTGAGGTGTATATACACGGTAAACAATGTTGTGAGGTGTACATACACGGTAAAAAATGTTGTGAAGTGTATATACACAGTATATAATGTTGTGAGGTGTATATACACGGTATATAATGCTGTGAAGTGTATATAAACAGTATATAATGTTGTGAGTTGTACATACACAGTATATAATGTTGTGAAGTGTATATACACAGTATATAATGTTGTGAGGTGTACATACACAGTATGTAATGTTGTGAGGTGTATATACACAGTATATAATGTTGTGAGGTATATATACACAATGTATTATGAAGCAAGACGTATATACACAGTATATGATTGTGTGAGGTAAATATACATAACATATACTATTGTGTGGTGTATTAATATCGTATATTATCTAAATTGGTGTATTTACAGTGTTGTGTGGTTATATTCACCTTCTTTTAATATTGAGAGGTGTAAATAAACAGTTAGTACTGGGGTCGGGGTAGGGGGGAGGTACACATATACACATAGTATATGTAATGTTTTAGCATGTACATTCACAGGATATCACATTAATGCTAGGTTTTATATTCAGTATTTACTGGTGTGAAATGTAAATTTTAACTGTATGAACAGCGATTAATACAATTTCTTTAATAAATGAGAATGTTTATCTCAATATTTACATGAGAATATTAACTGTCACTTGAATCTAATATTACGACGTAATTTATTTTCATATTCAATTTGAAACTAGAAAAATAATGAAGTGCTTTAAAATATATATATATATATATTAGGCAGTACAGGAGCGGCATTTAAAGCAATAGCTCTGTATATATACTGTATTATAACACTTATAACTCATAAAATGTCACAATCACGTCTCTGGAGAATTTGACATGACATTCAAAAAGATTAATTAAATATTAAGTCTCTTTCATCAATTAGCAAATGTTGTGTAACATTTTGTACACAACGCTCACAGTAAATGACAGCCGTAATGTAACCACCATGATGACTAGTACCATAATTCTTAAAAATAACTAATATCAAATTCATGCTTACAGTTAAGTGATATTATTATATTAATATTCTTCTGCTTGTTACATGTAATATAAATATATCTAGACATCACAGTTCAACACTGATTTTATTTATCAATTCATTTATATTTATTTATTAATTGTAAGCGTTACTTTATTTTTATTATATCGATCATTTTCTGGAATATTTTAATTCATTTATTGTTGGTATTACTAAACTTTTATTATATCTATCATTTTCTGTAACAGAACAGAACTTTCGGGTCTAAAAAAATAGTTAGCCTTTGTTAATATGACCATCAAAGCAAAGATATGTCATCTGATTTAACCATTTTTCGGGAGTTTAACATCCTCAAAGCAGTCAAGGTAATTTGTAGCCGGAAACCATGGACTGTAGGACCCGTTAACGGTCACTTAAAAGTGTCATCTCACTGAATATCATAGCCTGGAAACGGTCAAAAGGTCAAAGGTCAAATTATAATGACAATGAGCTAACCAATCCTTACCGGCAGCAAATCAAAATTAAACACCAAGCAAAGAACAGCAAGTCCACGTTTTAAAGACTTAAGTTTGTCCAAGTAAGAGAATAGAAACCATGACAGTTCTCATGAACGTTCAATATTAACGCCTAACTAAATATAAAGGTTTTTAGGAAGTGGAGAGGAAATATGAAAAAACACATAGTAACAGTGGGTGCAACATATTTATTTTGATCGCTTCTGTGTCCTCAAGTAGTGGACAAAATTGTAAACTCCCTATTATGCAGGAGATTCCCACATTAGTTGCCTCAGACGATGAACAACTTAATGCGGGTAACAGCAGGTATCTTCATTTTCATACCTTCGACCTGCAGGGGTAGATTTAAATACAAAACCTGGCAAACTACACTGATAGTTTAATTTTATAGCGATTTTAAACATTTTGTGATCGCTGCTGATCATCATCTTCACAAACATTTCTTCAAACCACGTGGTTCATCGTTATATGTCCAGTCATATGTAATTCATACAATGAAATGTTAACACAAAAACTGTATGATGAATGCATCCTCGAGGTGTCAGTCTGCACTCTTGACAAGGTTAGCAGAAATTAATTTGTTTATAAGTGATAGATGATGCATGTGCTGTAGGTAATGGCGACAACACTTTCAAATAAATACATGTATGTCAATGTCGGTTTGGCTTTAGAAATAAATTAAATGATCATTCCAGTTTGACAGTTGCGAGCATCTTAAAGGTAAAACGTCTCCTGTCCCGGTCTGAACGTCTCTGCTTAGGTCCACATGTTTAAAGTACGGTTAGGTTAAAAATGGATCATTCCTTTAAAGGTTCGTTATCCAGATCTTTTAATCGAATTGCTTAAATAAACGGTACATCAAATGAATGGTCTTTATACTAAGTCCACAGCATTGTTTGTAGATTATAATAGATTGCGAATAACGATGGTTTGAAAATTTATAATAAACGTCCTTATTACCTTAACAAACTATAACATTGTTGGGGTTTCGTTCAAAAATGCTCTCTCTTTTTTTTTTTTTTTTTTTCATTTTTTTTTTTTTTTGTATCTCCCTGTTGATAATGCCTTACGTAAATATCAATTGTCTGGCTGCAATACTGTTTTTGAAATATACGTAGGTACCTGTCCCAAAAATGTTGCAATTTATCGCTGTAAACATAATTGTAACAGTCAAGCCGTAAACCGCTTCATATTAATGTATATAAATATTTTATTCACTTGATGTGGTGCAGTCAAGTAGCAAAAGTCTTGCCAGAGTTTCACTGATGATGGTGAATTTTAGCTCGCAGAACTGTACATAGCGATTGTACACTAAACGACTTATTCACTTACATGCCTACGAATTTGCATAAGCACACGCTACCTGTTTTTAGGTATGGGAAGCAATGTGTTCTATGGTGATTTTCATTATTCAGTAAAGTAATAGCATTTTCATGTTTATCATTTAAATGTAATGTTTTGTTTGCCACTTTTATTCCGTGTTCTATTTATCATTTGCATCCTTTGTTCCATCAATTATTTTTATTCTATGTTGCAGCAAAAAAAAATGTGTATATTATATAATCTGTTGAAGCCAAGCATTGTTATTTTTTAACGTCATAAGGGTGTTTAAAGGCACCTTTTTATTTTTTCCTAAATTTTGTATATATTTCGAAGCATTTAGATAATCTTTTGACCTTTTATTCTTAAATATCACTGAATAGTCATAAATGGACAAAATGGCGGTGTGGAGTTTTTAGAATGCTTGCTTTTAGTAAAAATAGGTGTTTCCTTTACCTCGCATTTTTAGTGATTACTTTCCGTATATTGTTTTCATCATATGTTCTGTATGACATTTGAATCTTCTGTTCGAACTGTTATATTTAAATTGCGTTGCATGATTATGATTGGTGAGGTTTCCATTGTTCCTGTCAATTTATTGCACTTAACTCAAACATGCATTCAAACATGGAATACAAATCACGAAACTGTAACATAGAAACTGTAAATATTAAAGATGCGTATACCGCAAATTACCTACGGCGGACACAGCCATTGAGTTAAGGATCCCCGTACCCCTGTCAAAACCCTGTAACTATGAATTAGAAAAGCTTTTAACCGGCACCGATTACAAAATCATTTCTGAAAAGGAAACACATGCAGTGTGGAACTTTAATAAGAAAACAACAAAGATGAAATTTTGAAAAAAAACAACGGCAATGTTCTGAGAGTAAAAATGTTTCGAGATCAGGCCAGACTTTTGAACCTGCACCAATCACAATATGGACGTTTTAACCGACTGAGCTTCCATCAGATATACCTCCGTTGCTAAGACCAACTATATTTATGTAAAAACAAAAACAATTGAGTGGAAGGGGTTAGGGGTTTGGGAGGTTAGTGCATGCACGAAAAAAAACAATATTGGAATTATCAGGTGCTTTAGTTGTAGAGAGATTAGGGTCCTTAGTCGGGTAATGATATTACATTGTCAATACACAACAACACAATCGAAACTGAAATTCGATAAGAAAATGAAAAAGTAACTGAGAAGACAACAAAATAACGATTTTTTTTCCATGAACTCCAAACAAACATCACCACGTGTGGCACCGTCATTATGTCCCGGTCAAATCAAGGAAGTCACAAATTACCAATTTTTTAAGACATGAGGATCATGTGTTTAGAGACGTTTAGTAATAGCTGATGTATCCCCAACATCAAAGAATTCTAATTTTCCATTTTCGACTTTGAGTTGCTTGTATATCTACTTAAACAAAGATTTATACATTATATACGAAATCATCATATCATTATAATTTTCGTCGTTTAACACTTCTTGAATATATAGCATGGAGCTTATTCACGACAGCATTCGCTAATGATAATTGGTATGTTAATATTATTCGGTAAATGAAAAGTGCCAGCAGTATATATATTTTTCTTGGTATGAATTAAGAGAAAATTATATTAATTTTACAGAAAATGTTTTGCATTACCTGTTAACAGAAGAATAGTGTTGGGACTCTTAACCTTGATCATGGTATAGACAATGAAATATATGGCGTCCGATTGCAGATATACTGGTACAATCGTCAAAAAAAATGTTTTAATATACAATATTTCCATAAAAAGGGTATTTTGCACCATATATAAATGCAGATAATGTTTTTGATCTATCCTAAGACCAGTCAAATCCGTAAGAACAGCGGGCACAGTATATTTTGTCTAGATGTTGAACGATGACGCAAATAGATAAAATGAACTATAATTCTGCTATAAAATGACATAATCAAACATTTCGTGTAAGATGGTAGATGATCTATGGCAAAGCATCTCACTGAAATCGAGCTTTTCATGGCAGTATGTTCATATTTAAGTAACTTTTTTGCTCATAGCCCTTGTGTTTAACTTTTTCTCAAAATACGATATGCAATAGAGAATTCCTGACTTGCGTGACGTCACAACAGCTAAATATCGTTAATCAATTCGCTTGGTCAAAATTGATATCATTAAGGTAATAACGGTTACAGAAAATATTTCCAACTTTAGTCACGTGATTCCAAAAATATACAATTATAACCATACGCAATCATGAAGATGAATTTTTTATTTTATTTTTATTTTATTTTTTCCAATATCAAATTTCTTAAATTTCCATATATACTGCCAGTGAAATCAGATTCTAACGACAAGTGTCATAACAACATGAACATTTTACTATGGGGCCCTCGTATATAAACTTTAGTAACGTAAAGGTGATATTTTACCTGTTATAAAATCAAATATGATTACATAGTTTTGAGGATAGTCATTTTAAAATATTTTTCAGACATTATTGAACACACATATCAAAGTAGGTATGATACGCGAAATCAATAAAAATGTAACACTGCAAAATACACCTGACAGAAGGCATTCGCTTTACAGGTATTGGACCAAAAATACCCTGTATTTCCCCGTCAAATCCAGGAAAGTGTAAAAACGATGTCACAGACGAATACAGATCCAGTCTTTAGATCAGGTGGACAATGATATATCGTTGGTAGAAGTTGACCGTAATATTTTTAACTGATTGAAGTTTCATAGGTAGAAAATACTGGTTCAGGAGTTCCTTGAGAAAAGAAGAAATGTTTCAAAGTTTTTCTAAAGGGAAAAATAGTTCCTAAGACAAAAAGTACGCATATAGGTGACAGTATTTTCTAAGGCACAATACTGGCTGTCAAGCAAACAAAAGGAACTTTACCTGATATGGAGAAAGCGGCTAGGAGCAAGCAGCAGACGACAGCCGTAAGGCCCATTCTCACTGTGTAGCAGGCCGCGTGACGGTCTCTCTACAAGTGAGCTCCCACAGAATCGTACATCACCTTACCAAAAACCCGCTAATTAGCAAATTATTTCAATTTCATCAATTTGCATATATACGTGTCAGCTGATTATAAATCATGCACGACATTATTGCATGTTGATAAAAATACCTTGTCCACACACTTACTGGTACTGTCTCATTTAGATTACGTCAAACATAAACATACTAAGAAACACGATTCCTGACAAGTTTAATTAAATACCTTTGTGTCTACTTTAGTCTATACGCTCGTGTTTTCTGTATTACAATCCCTTCTTAATGCGTTCGTCTATGACAAACACATACATACATACACAACAATTTTGTATTACCGTTTAATGGCATTTAAAACAATCAAAATGTCGCTCATTTACGAAAAATACTATATGAATTAGATTACAAAATTTTAATTTCAACGTTGGTTTATCAACCTTACAATTGCCAAAGCAATTTATAATACTTTCCAACACCACATTTATATTTTTCATATTTTATTTCTCCTTTAGGACGTTCAACTGTGAAATGAGTCATACTATTTAATATATGAATCTTTTAAATGTTATGAAAAATACCAGATATTGTCTTTGATCTAAGATTATTCACTCAAAATTGCATAATCTTATAACTGAAAGACCAGATGTCTAGAATAGATTAGATGCGAATGACACTGAATTATTGGCGAATATCTAATGACTTCCTTTCCACTGCCACAAAAGCAATAGTTATGCACTGGACACTGTTTTTCCGATATGACTTCAGCTTTGACAAAAGAATTTTGAAAAAAAAATCTTGCAATACAGGATTTTTTTTGAAAAATCAAAAATAGAGATAACATAAACAAACAAATAATCAACAACAGTGTTCTGAGTGAAAATCAGTAGGGTTAAACCAGTATTCGAACCCTGGACCTCGGATTCCTATATTGTCCTTCAAACCAATTGAGCTACCTGGTCAACGGAAGGTGCCTGGCTCATTTGCGCTACATTTATATCTGAAGTGAATGGAGGAGAGGGTTTTTTGTGTACCAAAAAAACAAATTAGATTTTCTTGAGTTTTTCCTTCAGCGAGACAGCGATCTTTAAAGAAGGATTAGCACTTTTTCGACAATTGCTAGTTCTGGTGACCGAAATGCGAGCAACTTCTTCTTTTAATTATATAGTTCACTCTGTCCGATCTTACTGATACTTTTAAAACATTGAGTGTATATCAGGCAGTGGGTCGTAATAAATAATGTTTCAAAAATACTGCTCATTCCTTGCACTACCATTTTCAATATTTACAGAGCCTCTCTTGAGCAAGGTGTTTTCCCTAAATCTTAAAAAAAGGCCTGGCGTGAGTAATGTATATCGTTCACACAAAAAATGGAAACACTTGCAAAGTAATTATAGAATGATTATCACGTTATGGAATGTATTTGAAACAATGATCACTAAATCATTTCCTGGAAATTCTTTACAAACATCTGTCTGGATTTTTTTGATTTTTTTTTATGCTGATTAAATTTTATATGTACCAGAAAATAAATCGTCGGACCAATTCGTACATATTCATATTGTATCCGTTACTAACTAGTTATTTTTATATCATATTATTTAACATCAGATTCATTAGGTCATATTTTTATTTATTTTTACAACTTTTTTTTAAAATTTAATTCCTCAGCAGCAGATTTCATGTGTATATATAAATAAATCTTACTTGGAGGTTGCCAGAGTTGAGGGGCCCTGGGTTCAACCCCCGAACAATAAAATTGTCCTCACGCAGGACGTCTTTCTCACGCCATACACCTCTTATCCATTTAATATGTCAATTTCTTATACATATATATATATATATATGTTCCTATTGTGAAAGAAAAGGAGACACATTCAATTTCTAAACAAATTGCAATATCACTGATAATAATTATATACATAGTATTTAATAATATCAGTCTGGATTCTATCCTTCATATTATTGTATCCACCAATCAATTGTAACATTATTATGATAAAGTGTTATCTTAAAAAGAAAGTTGCGCGCTCTTTTTGGTATTTTGTGACACTTCTAAGGCGTTTGATAACGTCTGACAACAAGTCTAGAAATACAATTCAAAACGTACGGTATTTCTGGTAATCATAAACAACGGATCTATAATTATGAAATATAACGTCATCAACAGCTGGGTCGCTTTCGTATATCGCGATTCAAACAGTTAGACCAGACTTTATGTCGTTTATGAAACAAGAGGCCCATGGGCCTTAACGGTCACCTGACGTCCGATTCAAATTAGGACTGTCATCCTGAGGCCAATTCATACTTTTCGTCGGTCGGAGTGACCTTGCTGCATCGTCCATTAATTTTTCCTTGTGAACACAATAACTTCTGTAAATATTAAACGATTTTGATGAAACTTTGTATGCAGCTTTGTATTAATGAGATCTTGGATGAGTTTGAATACCGGACCAATTTGATCATAACTTACATAGTTATTCCCCTTGGTAATTCTATTAGTGTTGGACCCTGTGAACACTATAACTGAAATAAATGGTTGTGACTCCAATTTTGACCCAAGGGGTTTGTTTTGAACAAACTTGGTAACTGTGTGTCTTCTGTTCTTGATTAAAAGAAACAAGTAAAAGCGTAAATCAATGATTTATTAAATAAGGCACAAAATTTTAATAGCACCTTGTTAATAGCAAAAATATATCACATGAATTTACATCTATTCTTGTGTAATTTCAATCAACATCACAGGGACAAATAATAATATAATGACAAAGGGCAATAACTCTGCAGGTAACCGTCAAATAATTACCGGACAAAGTTCCATTGAACTCCGTCAACATTTATTCAAATTATCGTGTTTACAAGGTCCAATAATAATATTATTACAAAGGGCAATAACTCTGTATGTTACTGTCGAATAATTCCCATTTTCCAACTCTCCGAGATTTTATTTATATAAGGCCACATACAAAGTTTCATCAAACTTAGTTGATAATTACTTAAGTTATCATGTTCACAAGGTCCAATAATAATAAATATTACAAAGGGCAATAACTCTGTAAGATACTGTCGTATAACTCCCATTTTCGAACTCGTCCGAGATCTTATTGATATATGGCTGCATACAAAGTTTTCTCAAACTCGGTTAATATTTACTCAAGTTATCGTGTTCACAAGGTCCAATAATAATATTACTACAAAGGGCAATAACTCAGTAAGTTACGGTTAAATAATTCCCATTTTCGAACTCGTCCGAGATCTTATTGATATATGGCTGCATACAAACTTTTATTAAACTCGGTTAACATTTACTCAAGTTATCGTGTTCACAAGGTCCAATAATAATATTATTACAAAGGGCAAATTACTCTGTAAGTTACCGTCGAATAATTCCCATTTTCCAACTCTCCGAGATCTTATTGATATAAGGCCGCATACAGTGTGTCATCAAACTTGGTTGCTAATTACTCAAGTTATCGTGCACACAAGGTCCAATACAAAATAGTGTAATAATATTATTACAAAGGGCAATAACTCTGTAAGTTACTGTCGAATAATTCCAGTTTTCGAACCCGTCCGAGATTTTATTTATATAAGGCCGCATACAAAGTTTCATCAAACTTAGTTGATAATTACTTAAGTTATCATGTTCACAAGGTCCAATAATAATAAATATTACAAAAGGCAATAACTCTGTAAGTTACTGTCGTATAACTCCCATTTTCGAACTCGTCCGAGAACTTATTGATATATGGCTGCATACAAAGTTTTATCAAACTCGGTTAACATTTACTCAAGTTATCGTGTTCACAAGGTCCAATAATAATAATATTACAAAGGGAAAATTACTCTGTAAGTTAACGTCGAATAATTCCCATTTTCGAACTCGTCCGAGATCTTATTGATATATGGCTGCATATAAAGTTTCATCAAACTCGGTTAACATTTACTGAAGTAATTGTGTTCACAAGGAAAAGTTAACGCACGACGCACGACGGACGACAGACGACGACGGACAAAAGGCTATCACAATAGGTTACCATGACCTATGGTCAGGTAACCTAATAGAAGCGGAGCGAGCGCTCCGGTGTTGTTTTCTGACAAGCATTGGTTGAGACCTTTAAAGGTCTGCATACATCTGCAAGTCCTTCAGGTTTTATCTATGGAATATTACATTTGAAACATGGACGAACCAATTCGTAAGTACATAAGAACAAAACGATCACCCTTAAAACATACCAACACTCTGATTGGTGTATTGCAGTATCAGTATTTGTCGGGGGTATAACTAATAATGCAGTTAGCCTTTACCGACTTCTTGATAACGATTCTATGTCACTCTTCTCTGCCTTCTCATCTAGCAAAAAAAATCGTCATCAACAACGACCTATCAATAAAAATCGACTAACAAATGGTGTGTTAAATTCAATCCCAACAGAACAGAAGTACTACTTATTGAAAATACTAATGCTGAATTAGCTTTTAATGATATTAACATGGATTTCATGAATGCCATACGGACTGAGGATAACGTTTGGAACGACTTTCAATCGCTAAACCATAAGAAAATATTTTGAAAGTGTTTTGACAGACATATAGCTTACTTTCATCCTGCAAATACTTGCGTTAAGTTGTGGACTATGGGGTGGGTGTTCTATTCACGATACAACTTAAGGAGAAACCCTGCAGTTAGAACCTGCAAATGCAATGTCATGCTTTACAAGCAGCATGTACTTAGGAGTAAAAATGAAAAAACAATTATGTATCCGAGTTTCGGTAGGCGATCACAAGTCAAGTATTCAGCTAAATAAGATATTTTATAACATGAAATGTTCGTTGTGTATTAACCTTCGTTGTTTTCGTGGTTGCTAGTATGGAACCATAGAGATAAAAACAACGAATATTTCTACAATACGAAAGAACACACAAAACGAAAATGTGAAAATTTTATGCACTTTATTTCAATCAAATAATGTGCACATAAAAAAATACAATGTAGGTGTATAGTTATGATCATGTAA